GGGATGATACATTATTCCTTTAGAAGAGGCCCAGGAAAAAGCAGAACCATCAGAGTTTGAACTCATACTACCCTTCTACCAGATCAAACTAGACAAGTCCTGGCTGTTCTGAGGACTTGCAACATGGCCTAGGGGTATTGTTAAACAACAAAGCTTCCACGGTTAAAAGTACACAAACATTCTTACTTGTCCTAGCCCATAGTGTGATCTCTCAACATTTCAGAGGCCTCCTGTACAGGATTATACATCTAGATTTAATTTAACCTAGTTTCTACTAAATATAGGTTGTGAAAGTCCCTTCTCTCCTTCTATTCCTCCCTCCTTCCAGTCGCCCTAAAGAAAATAAGGCCAGAAAAAAATTAATGGAGCCTTAATTTCAAATGGCTCTCTGGGAAATGGCAGCTAAATCAAGAGTTGACAAGGCCACGAAATCCCTTCTTTTCACTTAAAGTTGGGCTTTACACTGTCTAATCCTTATACTAAAAAGTGGCCAAGAGTTAACCAAATTTTAAAGCAGAACGGTCATTCCAGCAATCTTTTATTACAAGGGTGAGAGGTGCTTATCAGATATTTCGATAATAATGCAATGACAATAGCTAGCACCTTCAGGTATCATTTAGCGCATAATAAATAACAAGAGATACCTAATTACAACAGACCGACCTGTGATTTCATTTAAATATGACAGACGAGATAGTTTGTTACACAGTAAGAAAGCAGTTCAAAGTTTGACATCCAATTTTTAACTGAAATACCAATCAACTCTGGAAAACTTAAACCTGGGAGGAAAGAGAAAGAAAGGAGGATATATTCTATTTTACTCATTCCTTGTTCAGCTTGGTTCAAACCTGAGCCTAAAATGTAGTATTTTTAAAAATGGATATGTTAAAGAAAAAAGAAAAAAAAAAAGGAAGAACTCGACTGTCCTGAGTGTCTTAATTTACAGAATGTTAGTTTATATTCATTTTACCACCCAACTTTCAGTGAGGCTGTTTGCAGATCACATCATACTTTTGCTTCCTTGGGAGTGTAAACTGTTAAGTCACCTGCAAACCGTTCTCACCTTACCACTAGCTTAGTCATCACTGGAATACGTTACACTTTTCTAGTACAGCTACATCTCCTTCATCTGCTTTCTATTATTACTTTGTAAGCGTACCCTGAGGCTAAGCAAGAAGTATACCAGGAAGGTTATTAATAATTTAAACTGTTCCTCATTGAGACCACCTTCTTTGTCATTCTGCCTTTTCTAAACTTACTGGGTTTTCTTTATTTTAAAATATTACATCGATTATAGTAAGTGTCTGGCATTTTAAAAACACTTCTTTTGAAATGTAAAAGTTTAATGAAGCATCCATACTTTATTCACACTGTTTCATAATGAAGCAGCCAAGTGTTTTCAGTAAAAGCCCCAAGTAGAACATTACTCTGGAAACAAACAGCATGAATAAATTCTTTGGATTCAAAGAATTTGGAAGTAACAGGAAGTTCCAGTTTCTTTGCCTCTGGCTTAATCTACAGCCTTTCTCAAACCAGACCATTCCTGCCAAATCCAAAATGGAAAAATTACGGGCTAAGGTTTGCCCCCACTTGCTTCCCCTTCTTCCACATCGAACCAGTTCCGGAGGTTTTTCTTCCCTTAAGTGTCAGAAATTCCTGTTTTGTCCCCAGGTGCTCAGGATTCTAGAGACTTGAACCTCCGTTATGGGGCGGGGGAGAGGTGTCTCTCAATCTCAAACTACGGGAGGCTGGCGAGGTTTGCCCTCCAATGGGCAAACCATTCGGGGAATCCCTTTTCCCTTTTGCTGGACATGTCCCAGGATCTCAGCGAACGACGCCAAGCGGCGAAGGTTCGCCCCTCGGCCTCCAGTCTTACCGGCCACACCCCTGGCCTTTGGCCGCCCTAACCACCCGACTTCGAACATACCTACCGGCAGGTGCTCCCCAGCCCCCA